GCGGAGAAAGAGAAATACCAAATGATTTCACTCATCTGAGGAGTATAGGAACAAAGGAAAAACTGAAGGAACAAAACAGCAGCGGAATTACAGAACCCAAAAATGGACTAACAGGTACCAAAGGGTAAGGAACTGGGGAGGATGGGTGGGCAGGGAGGGATAAGGGGGGGTAGACGAAGAAGGGGGGTATATAAATAATTCTTCAGTTTTTAATAACTAAAGTGATGTTGTTTTTAGCATATTTAAAAACACAAAATTGCTTTGACCCATTTTTTTTTTTGGTATCATGTGCAATTACATGAGCAACATTATGGTTACTAGACTCCCCCCATTAAGTTCCTGTCACATACCCCATTAGAGTCACTGTCCCTCAGTGTAGTAAGACGCCATAGAATCACTACTTGTCTTCTCTATGTTGTACTGCCTTCCCCATGCCCCCACCCCCTACATTATATGTGCTTATTGTAATGCCCCTTCTTCCCCCTTATCCCTCTCTTCCCACCTATCCTCCCCAGTCCCTTTCCCTTTGGTAACTGTTAGTTCATTCTTGGGTTCTGTGTCTGCTGCTGTTTTGTTCCTTCAGATTTTGCTTTGTTCTTATACTCCACAGATGAGTGAAATCATTTGACACTTGTTTTTCTCCACCTGGCTTATTTCATTGAGCATAATACCCTCTAGCTCCATCCATGTTGTTGTAAATGGTAGGATTTATTTCCTTCTTATGGCTGAATAATATCCCATTGTGTATATATGTACCACATCTTTATCCATTCATCTATTGATGGACACTTAGGTTGCTTCCATTTTTTGGCTATTGTAAATAGTGCTGCAGTAAACATAGGGGTGCATATGTCTTTTTCAAACTGGGCTGCTGCATTCTTAGGGTAAATTCCTAGGAATGGAATTCCTGGGTCAAATGGTATTTCTATTTTGAGTGTTTTGAGAAACCTCCATACTGCTTTCCACAGTGGTTGAACTAATTTACATTCCCACTAGCAGTGTAGGAGGGTTCCCCTTTCTCCACATCCTCGCCAACATTTGTTGTTGTTTCTCTTTTGGATGGTGGCAATCCTTACTGGTGTGAGGTGATATCTCATTGTGGTTTTAATTTGCATTTCTCTGAGATTAGCGATGTGGAGCATCTTTTCGTGTGCCTGTTGGCCATGTGCATTTTTTCTTTGGAGAAGTGTCTGTTCAGAACCTCTGCCCATTTTTTAATTGGCTTATTTGCTTTTTGTTGAAGTTCATGAGCTCTTTATATATTTTGGATGTCAACCCCTTATTAGATATGTCATTCATGAATATATTCTTCCATACTGTAGGATGCCTTTTTGTTCTATTAATCGTGTCCTTTGCTAGACAGAAGCTTTTCAGCTTGATATAGTACCACTTGTTCATTTTTGCTGTTTCCCTTGCCCCGGGAGATATGTTCATGAAGAAGTTGCTCATGTTTATGTCGAAGAGATTTTTGCCTATGTGTTTTTCTAAGAGTTTTATGGTTTCATGACTTACATTCAGGTCTTTGATCCATTTTGACTTTACTTTTGTGTATGGGGTTAGACAATAACCCAATTTCATTCTCTTCATGTAGCTGTCCAGTTTTGCCAACACCAGCTGTTGAAGAGGCTGTCATTTCCCCATTGTATATCCATGGCTCCTTTATTGTATATTAATTGACCATATATACTCCTTTATTGTATATTAATTGACCATAGACGCTTGGGTTAATAACTGGACTCTCTATTCTGTTCCACTGATCTATGAGTCTGTTTTTGTGCCAGTACCAAATTGTCTTGATTCCTGTGGCTTTGTAGTAGAGCTTGAAGTTAGGAAGTGAGATCCCCCTGCTTTATTCTTGCTTCTCAGGATTGCTTTGGCTATTTGGTGTCTTTTGTGGTTTATATGAATTTTAGAACTATTTATTCCAGTTCGTTGAAAAATGCTGTCAGTATTTTGATAGGAATTGCATTGAATCTGTTGATTGCTTTAGTCAGGATGGCCATTTTGACAATATTAAACCTTCTTACCCAAGAGCATGGGATGAATTTCCATTTCTTAGTGTCCTCTTTAATTTAATTTCTTTTAAGAGTATCTTATACTTTTCATGGTATAGGTCTTTCACTTCCTTGGTTAGGTTTATTCCTAGGTATTTTTTCTTTTTGATGCAATTGTGAATGGAATTGTTTTCTTTAATCTTCTTTCTGCTAGTTCATCATTAATGTATAGAAACGCAACAGATTTCTGTGTATTAATTTTGTATCCTGCAACTTTGCTGAATTCAGATATTAGTTCTAGTAGTTGGACTGCATTCTTTAGGGCTTCTTATGTACAATATCATGTCATCTACAAATAGTGACAGTTTGACTTCTTCCTCACCAATCTGGATGTCTTTTATTTCTTTGTGTTGTCTGATTGCCATGGCTAGGACCTCCAGTACTGTGTTGAATAAAAGTGAGTAGAGTGGGCACCCTTATCTTGTTCCCTATCTTAGGGGAAAAGCTTTTTTTTTTTTTTTTTTTCTGAGAGGGCATCTCTCATATTTATTGATCAAATGGTTGTTAACAACAATAAAATTCAGTATAGGGGGGTCAATGCTCAATGTACAATCATTAATCCATCTCAAGTCTAATTCTCATCAGTCTCCAATCTTCTGAAGCATAACGAACAAATTCTTACATGGTGAACGAATTCTTACATAGTGAATAAATTCTTACATGGTGAACAGTACAAGGGCATTCATCACAGAAACTTTCGATTTTGATCATGCATTATGACCTATAAACAATAGATCAGGTCAAATATGAATATTCGTTTGATTTTTGTACTTGATTTATATGTTGATCCCACATTTATCCCTTTATTATTATTATTATTTTTATTTTTAATAAAATGCTGAAGTGGTAGGTAGATGCAAGATAAAGGTAGAAAACATAGTTTAGTGCTGTAAGAGGGCAAATGTAGATGATCAGATGATCAGGTGTGTGCCTATGGACTAAGTATTAATCCAGGCTAGACAAGGGCAGCAAAACATCCACGGATGCAGAAGACTTCTCTCAAAGCAGGGGGGGTGAGGTTCTGAGCCTCACCTCTGTTGATCCCCAAATTCTCACCTGATGGCCCCCCTGCGACTGTGCCTGTCTTAGGTTGTTCCTCCCTTGAGGAATCTTACCCGTCTCTGGCTAACCAGTCATCTTCCGGGGCCATACAGGGAAATGTAAAGTTGGTAAGTGAGAGAGAAGCCATATTGTTTGAAAAGGTTAGCTTTTTACTTCTTTGCAGATTTATGCCCTGTGGCTTCTATGCCCAGCACTTGTCTCGAGGTATCTTTACCACCTGGAGGAATTATAATACTCGGTAAATTCGATATGAGGCACGAATGCTATTTAAGGGTGGTAATTAGGAAGAAAGAAGAAAAGCTACAAATGTAGCATATGGAAGGAAACATGGAAGGATTGATTATTTCTTTGACATATCTTCTTGTAGAGTACCTTAAGTATGTATAGGTTTTAAACTACTAACTAATTTGCACACACATATTAACATAATAGGAATACGGTGACATAAACAAAGCAAATCTATAATTACCATCCATCTCCAGTGAAGCCAAGAAAACCATTTAGGCACCCTAGGCATTTGTGAAAATTTGTCTATGTTATGATGGATATTGTCCAACTGTGCTTGAACCGTCTGAGAGAAATCAGACAAATTAAAGCAGGCCATTTCTGGGATCTGTTCACATCCCATATGTTCTTTTAACCGTAGACAGTCTATAGTCATAAGATTTTGGAGTGCTACACCTTGCACCCCTCCCAACTCCTGGTTGAGTTCCAACAGTACAGATCCGGTCAAATTCGTTGTCTCACTGTATGCACATGCCAGCCTAGACATCTCCCTCCTCATTCCTATGGCAAGTCCAAGAGATGGTGGGCTGGATGCAGCCACAACCGCAGCATCGTCCGGATCCCTGTGGAGGCTTTTTGATGATCATCCCCCAGCACAAGTCCTCCAGAGAGTGCTGATGTCGGAAGCTCCTCCTCATAACGTATCTTAGTTCATTTTCTGGGTATCCAAGTTAGGCCTTGATCTTCTGCATAGAAACAAACAGACCCTTTGCCCACACTTTGACATGCCCTCTATACCACTGTGCAGAACTCACTGGAGGTCAGCACACAGTAACTGCTTTTTTTTTTTTATTATTATTAAGAGAAAGGAATATTATCAGAAAAGAGTACCTCCATAGCTGATCATCTGACACCCTTTAAGTGATCAACATTAAGGATATTTAAAGCATGCGTTGATCTTTGATTTACCAATAGTTTTATCCTATCAAGGAGTAATCCCCCTTTTCTTTCTTTCTTTCTTTCATTCTTCTTTTTTTTTAATTTTTAATCTATACCTACATGAAGAATACTATGTTTACTATGCTCTCCCCTATATCAGGTCCCCCCTAACAACCACATTACGATTACTGTCCATCAACTTAGCAAAATGTTGTAGAGTCACTACTTGTCCTCTCTGTGTTGGGCAGCCCTCACAGTACAGAAGAAGGGGGGTATTAAGATTAGCATGCATGGGGGGGAGAAATATCCTCATTTCTTTGACTACTCATCAACTGGTATATTTCCAGTCTTTGACAGTGCTATGGACTGAACTGCATTCACCCCAAATTTACATTTAAGTGCTAACCCCGATGTAGCTACATCTGTAGGTAAATAAAGTTAAATGATGTCATAAGCGTAGGTCCCTAATCCAGTAGGACTGGTGACCTTAAAAGAATAGGAAGAGATGTCTCTGCCCCTCATGCTGGCATGCATGGTGCTTACATGGCTTCACTTCAGATATGAAGTTAGGTGGTAACAGACAAAGGTAGTAGTGGGACTTCTGGGCATACAGTCATGTTAGGCAAAGAGGCTCATAGTAGAAAAACTATGCTTGTTGGCTCCTTCTCCTCAACTTACATTTTGAGGTGGCTCCAATCTTAGGAGAAAAAGAAAACTCACCTGGTTCTTTACCCCACTGTTTTTTCTCATGTTTCCTCCTTTCACCGCTGCAGGCCCAGTAACCCCTCCAATCTGGTTTTCTCTACCACCTGCAATTATTCACACAGATAAACAGCAGCCTTCTAATGGTCAAATCCAAAGGATTCAGTCTTCACATTGACTTCTTGGGAGCATTTAGCACCATAATATCCCTCTAGAAACTTCCTGTTCCCTTATTTCTAAGATACCAATTTCTCCCTGTTCTCTGAACAGGTCTCAAGTCTCCTTCACTTCTGCCAATACTTAAAGGTATGCATTTCATGGGAATTTCATCCATAACACTTCTTATCTCACTTAAAAGATGTGCTGTGCGTGGCCTCATTATCCATGGCTTCACATATTGATCTCTCCAATAGTGTTTGGCCTTGATGCTGCTATGAACTCCAGGCCTATGGTTTCATGTGCTACAAAGTGACTCCACCTAGGTGTTCTATGGGGCTATCACAATTAAATGTTCTGATCTTAACTCAAGTGTCCACCCCTGAGAGAGGTATCTCCACCTGTTTTCCTTATTAGGTATAATTATACCAGTGGCCCAAGTCATCCTCAGACTCTGTCCTCTCCCTCCAACCCCTTACATTTAATCTGTCACTCAACTGGGTGGTTTCTTTCTCCTTCCTAATTCTTAAACCCATCTCTTATCCACCATCACTGCCCCAATTTACTTGTTTGGGAGGTAGCACTGAGGAAGGACGAGGTATAGGCATGAAAATCACCTGTGTGGTTTTCTTTTTAAATAAGCACGCTCTGCCCATCCTGCCCCTCCTCCAGAGATTCTGGACCACATACTCTTTCCTCACCAGCACTATTATTCTTCCCTGGTCTCCGGTCCATCTTCCACATGGCTGACATAATGATCTCTCAAAAATGCAATCCTGATAGTACAGCCTATCTGCTTAGTCTTTCACATGTTTCACAGAACCTTCAGAATAAAATCCAAACTCCTCTGAAAATGCTTCACACTTCGGCTCTTGCCCATAGCTTCTGCCTCCTCTCCTGCCACTCCCTCATGGGTGCCCTGCACTCAAGCCTTATCAAACTGTGGCACTTGCTGTTCCTGGAACAGCTCTGCTTGCCTTGCTGTTCTCTTCTTGGTGGATATCCGACCTCATCCTTTCCGCTTGGAAATCACTTTGTTCAAAAAGCCTCTCCTGACTTCTCCAGGCAACTAGGTATTTCCTCTTCTGTTTCCACAGCACCTTGTTCATATCATGATTCTACACTGATTATCAGATAATTAAAAGTATTTGTGTTCAGGTAATGTGTCACCTACTAAACTATGAACAAACTTTGTTCATTTTTCTATACTCTAACATAAAGCCTGGCACATAACATGTACTCAACAAATGATTACTGAATGGATTTTTGAATGAGTAAGTTTTATAGTTTTGTCATTGCTTAAAGTACAGTTTAATATATCACATAAATACTACTACTGACCCACTTTCAGGATAGCATGTTCTTTGAATCCCTTTAATGACATTTTATATTTGAATAGTACTTTTAATTTTTTCCCCAACACTTTATTATGAACATTTCCAAACATAAGGAAAAGAGAAAGAACTGTAGTGAACAGCCATATACTCATCACCTAGATTCTAACTTGACATTTGCTAAATTTATGAAACACTTTCTATGGGCTAGTTTTATTATCACTTATATCACCTTAGACTAATGTATCATTCTATCCATTTTATAGATCAGGAGTCTAAAACTCAGAGGGTTTAACGACTTGCCAAGGAGTTTGTCTCCCAGTAGTTATGATCTACTTGTGCCAGCTGACTCATCTACACCCTCTGGGTGTTAGATATATAACCTGGGTCTGAAAAATATTTTCAATATCCATAGTAATGCAAAGCTTCCAATTCCACAAGAAAGGAGCTCAGCAAAATCATGGGAAAAACAACAAGGAAACATTTCTAGCTTATAAATCATTCAGAAAGGAATCCAGTCTTGGGTATCCCTCCCCTTCACCCCACTTCCATTCCTGGTTAGTCATTTCCTGCACAATCTGAGATGTTTTTTCCACCCATTCTTTTCCAGTACCAGATGTAGGTCTAAAATACCTTTCATCTCAGCTGGTGTACTCTCTCCTGCCTTTTCATGTCAGATACATGACGTCCAATTGAAGCATAGTCTTATATTCTTGCCTAGCTCACAAAATATCATCAGCTCACTGTCTCCTACCAACTTAAGTTTAGCATGATGTTTTCCACATTATAACCTATTCAAGCATCTGTCGTCTTACTCCTTAGCTTCCACCCTACAAAACTAAGAGATGTAACCCCAAATATAGACAGCCTTTCTACTTATTTCCTTTCTCCATGCATAAATCACCACCACTTGCCTCCCAAAGTCCACATGCATAAATTCCAGACCCTCATGTTATGGCTCAACTCAAATGCCAATTCTTGTTTTTTAAAATATAAACGCTTCTAGAAACCCCAGACCTGTTACAACCCCTATCGCCAAACCTGTGGCATCTCGTGGTACTGATCTTAATCTACCTTGTAGAGCTTTACGGTCTGATTTCTGTGCCCCCTTCTGCCCCCTTTGCCTGACTGAGTGTTAACAGTCTAGAGCAAAGGGATGTTGTCATATTCACCATAGTCTTCGCACACAGTCGGTGCTTTACCGTACTTACCGCAACACATCCTGCCAGAAGGGTCGGGGGCGGACGACCTTCGCTCTATTCACACGTCCACTCACACGCACCCACGGACACTGCCTTCCATCCAGACACACACGTGTGGCCCTGGGGCTGCCTCGAGCGTCCCACCCCCATGGGCGCTTCCATTCCAGTCAGCGGAGGGGGAGGCTCATGTCTTTAAAACCGCTCCAAAGGACACTTGTTACTTCAGACCTCCCAGAGCCTCCACCCTACAACCAGCTAGAGATCTCCCTCCTTTCAGAATAGTACTCCCCCGGGGCTGGGGAGCCCAGCCTGGTGGCTCCGGGGTCGGTCGCACGGCCCCCCTCCCAGTTCCGCGTGGTAGCGCCCGCTTTGTCAGCGCGCTGCGCGGGCAGGTTATCTTCCAGCTCTCGCCAGCCCGTGCAGACGATTCCGCTGCCGCCACAGCTGTCGCCGCTCCAGCGCCGTTCTTCCGGCCCGCCTGCCAGGACTTCCCCCGCGTTACTGGGCGAGCAGCCAGGACTTCCGCCGCGGGGCTGGGCGAGCAGCAGCCCGGGAGCACTCGCCCGGGCGGCTCGGGAGAGTCCGCCCGCCTCGGCGTCGGTCTCGGCTGGGTTCCGCTCCTCGGGCGCGCGAGGGGCCTCGGCGGTTGTGGCGGCGGCGCCCGGCATGTATCAGAGCCCGCGGCGACTCTGCTCCGCCCTGCTGCAGAGGGACGCGCCCGGCCTGCGCCGCCTGCCCGCTCCCGGGCTGCGCCTCCAGTCGCCCCCGCCGGCGGCCGCCCCCCGGCCCGCGTCCCCCCGGCTCCTGGCGGCGGCCTCGGGCGCCGCCAGGACGTGTGCCCGGCCAGGTGAGTACGCGGCGGGTGCGGACGGAGAACGGCGGCGACGCGCGGTCGCCGCCTGGACCTGCTTGGAATGAATGAGAAGCCCCAGCCTGCCGGCAGTAGGGTCAGGCCGGGACGCCGGTCCTCCTCCGGGAGCAGCCGTCGCCGCTCCCCTCGCCCTATCTGGCCTGGGGCTCGCATCGCGTCTGGTGCGAACCAGAACACTGGTCCGGTTCCCGTTTGATCCTTGGGGAACGCGCTTTCAGCATTTCTCGCTTTTGACCTCAGTTAAATTTCCCCCTTCAGAGATCGCATATTATTCCACATGGTTTTAGTTCTTATAGCGTTAATTATGGAAATTTTTATGCAGAAAATCATGTAATGTGACAGTTATTTGACCAAGCAGCTTGCATGGCCTAGATATTCTAATTTTTTTTTTTTTTTAAGTCACGGTAACGATGTATTGTAACACACTGATTCGTTTTACATTCATTTCAATTTTTTTTTCGGAGACTTCTACTCTTAATACTTAACGCTGTTCTCGGCCCTGTACACCTTGAGTTAAGATTTTTTGAAGGTTGATGCCTCTGTTAAGAGTCAGTGTCATACATCACATACCCTAACTTCCCCTTTTTGCCACCTCCGTTTCTGCCTGAGGATACATTACATACAAAAATTAATAATAATTTTTTAAATGAGAAAGTTTTTCTTTCAAAACTGGCAATTCACTGCATGAAAAGGTGTATTCTAGTTGTGGTCTAGTTAGGTTATAACTAAGACATTTGTATAACCATTCTAAATTATAACTACATTTTGCTTTGAAAGTTTTAAATTGATTCAAGAAAGACAAATTGAGCAATAGAAAGGATATGTTTAACATGTCTTTCTTTAACTAATGAAAGTGATAATCCAAAAGGTTTCTGAAGCCAAGACTTTAAACTATTCAGATTATTGGTGGATGTTTAAACTGAGATATAACTTTTAAAATTAGAATGCTAAACTGGTTACTGGAGATTCTAAACTATATTGTTCTTCAGAAAGGGTGAACTTGACTGTCATTCAAGCTTTTTTTTTTCCAGTTCTATAGGAATTCGGCACATTGTGAAATAGTTGTTAGAATGGGCGCCATCTAGTAATTGTTAGTAACTCTTGCTCGAAATAGGTTTGGGGTGAGAGAAGTAAAGGAAAACCAGTTGGTGTCTCCTCTTGTACCAGCTCATCTTCAGTTCCCGCAAAGTCCCTCAGAGGCCAGAGTCAGTACATCTTGGGAATACAGATAGCTTGTGTCATATAGATACAGATAGCTGTGCTGTTAGCTGAAGAAAAAATGGTCAGGTCAGATAGAACATTTGGAGTGTCAGTCTTCTGACACTTAAAAGTCCTCTGCAACTACCCATCCCACCCACCCCCCTTTACAAATAAAGAAGCTGAAAGACTTTATGGTCTTTTTTAATATGGTCTTTTATGTGACAGCACAAAATCTTAGCAATTTTCCTGTGCAGGTTTAGTTTTAGAAGCTTGCTAGAAGAAACTCATCAATACCTTCATTCACTCATTGCTTGATCACTCGCTCATTCAAGTCTTTACAGAATCTCTCTTGCACTGTAGGTGCTTCATTATAGGAAGTAAAAGAAGGTGAGCCTTAGTCTGTCTTTAAAGAGTTTACTGCTCAGTAAGTGAGATAAGCTCTGTACAAAGAAATGACTTTTAAATGAAATGAAACACCTATTTTCTGACAGTTAAAGGTTTGTAAATGGCACAGGGTGCTAGAGAGTGGGAAGTCCCTTTCAGCAGAGATGACCAGTCCTTTCACACTTCAAGCAGTGGTTGGCATTTGAGCTGGGTCTTGAAGCAAGGTTAGGATTGCAAAAAATTAAAACATTTTATTTGGGAAAAGCCCAGAGCAAAGAGGTGAAGATATGAGGCATTGGAGTGACAGGACGAGAGAAGAGGTACGCTTCAAAATGTTTCCCACTTAGCCTCAGATCCAGCTTCAGGTGCAGTCTCACCCATGGGTTTCACGCCCAGGGTAGTTCACTGTGGACTCCGTGAGACTGAGAAATGACAACAGAACGTTCTTGGGGTAAAAGGGTTTATACCTGGCTTTATACCCAGGGCGATAGGTCAAGCGCTAGGGTCACGCCTGCATCCAGCAGTCTGCAGGTCTGCAATCCATTCTGTCTCTGCCTCCACCCAGAGAACTGGGCAGAGCTCTGTATGGGGTGACTCACTCAGTAATAGCTCATTGCCAATGGGTGTGGGAGCAGTAGCCTAGCAGTAGGCCAATTACATCATTGACTAGTTTAGGGTCAGGTGAGGACCCTGGCCATGGGAACTTCCATTTTCCCCACAGGTGCCTTTAAAAAAATGTATCCTCCTATAGATGTTTTAAACAGAATTGTTATTGGTGGGCCCCAGATTCCACATTATTTAAAATAATAATAAAACTCCAGAGTATTCTTATCTGCTCCAAAGTTAAGACATTGGGCAAGAGAAGCTTTCAGGGAGCTGAAAGCTAATCTTCCCTCCTGAGTATCTTTTGGTGGGGGTGGGAGTGGGGGCGAGGAGGAGTAAAGAGTCCCAACACTTGGTCACATTTGCTGATCAGTACATTCCTAACTTAGGCCCCTTCGCAATCAGAGGTTACTGGAAAAATGAGGATAGTCCCTTTAAGTCATCAAATCCTAGGTTACTAGAATTTAAAGGGCACCTTGTAGATGATCTCAGTGTTTTGCTACCTTTTCTCATGTAAAGTCAGCAGCCCCCATAAAAAAGCAGCAACTGGCACAGTTACTGCTCTGGATGAAATGCAGTCTGGAGTCATCTTTGGGTTTTTAAATGATGTCTGTCCTCCAGATCCCTCCTCTTCAAATAAGAGATGACTGAATTACTCTTCTCCACCACTGGAACACACTGCTTTTTTCTTGACAACTTTAAGAGCAGATTTGAGGAGGCAGCTTTATATAGTATGTCCCTTAATTATGTGAGTAAGCTGTGTATGAGAGAGAAGAAATGGGAAAGCTTGTACTTATCAAGCTTCTACAGAATAAAAATGTTTTCCTTATGGGAGAAGAAAGGTATCATTTTCCTGTAGCACACAATGGTAAGAGTTTAAATACAGTGAACTCTTGGGGCTTTTGAAATAATAAACGTGGCTCCAGAATCACATTTACATTTATATATGAATATTTACAAATATTTCATCTTGCTGTCTCCTAACATTGGACTTTACCTTGGAAAAATAAGGCCACATATTACATTATGACACATGAGTAGAGCTGAAATTGAGGACTTGGTGTGGCTGGATTTGTTGGGAAAAACTTTGCTTTGAATAGGTGAAAGGAGGGTACTTCCTGGGGAGGGAGCACAATGGGTGGCGGGCAGGGAGGAGCCCACACACAAGAGAAGGTGGTGGGTGTGGGAGCAGTGATGACCAACATCAGAAAAGAAGTACTTGGAAAATCAGCTGGGGTGCTTGTTATAGCACAGACCTCTCATCTGTCACCTATACTCTGCATCAGTTTTTTTTCTGAGGAGAAGCCTGGTAAAGTGATATATTTAACAAGTGCCCCCAGTGATTCTGGGAAGTTTGGACTGTATTTTGTAAGCCCCACTCCTTCCCAAAGGTACTTTATTCCTGGAAAGTTTGAGAAGCCGAGTTTAGGGTTCCAGAAGAATGTTAAGATCTTTGACCTAGGGGCCCAAGACAATTCAGGAGACCTATGAGCAGAAACATGTACCTGAACAGAAGTGGGCTTTCAGAAAAGTAAGAAATTGATGCATTATAGTTAAGTGAGGAAAAACTCGAGACTAACATCATGAAAATGTATTGGTGTAGTAGTGCATTTACAGAGTAGGTAACTGGACAAATATAATACCATACAAGTTTCTGTGACAGTAAGAGAAGAGAGGCAATTATTCTGGTTTCTTGGGAGGAGGGAGGGCAGGGAGACAGCACCTGGGTTTGCTGTCAGCAGTCACTCCTCATCAGACTATGTAGGACCTTGATAACCACTTGAATGGTTATCATATTTAAATAATACTTGAAAATTCAAGGACACTGTGCATGGGTGTTGGCCCCTAGTAAATACACTTGTACTTTTGTGAAAAGCAGCTAAGATATTTTGGATTTATTGTTATTCTTAGAATAGGGATGAAATTATTAGCCTTCCCTCAGAGATCCAATCATTGAAGAGCATGATGGAGGGTATTAAAAGCAGGTTGGATATGGTGGAGGAGACAATAAATGAAATAGAAACTAGAGAAGAGGAATACATAGCTGAGGCACAGAGAGAAAAAAGGATCTCTAAGAATGAA